TGTTGAATTTTAATTGATATATCACACATTTTTATATGCTACTATACTATCCTTATAGATTGTATATAGATTATATATAATTCTCAATGGCTGCATAATATTCCATAGAGTGAAAATACAATAATCTTTTAGCCATTCCCCTTATTGGATGATTGAGTTCTTTCTGCTTTTATGGAGAGGCTTTTCATTTGTGATTATTTCCTTAGAATAAATTATTGAAGTGGCATTACTGCTTTTAAAGCTATAAATATGCATGTGAATCTTTATGTACATAATCAAATGAATTTCAAAAGACTAACTTTACCTTACAGCTATCAGTGTGTTAATGGTGCTATTTCATCAAATATTACCACTTGAAATGTTTCTAACAATTGACCTTTTAGTTTATACTTGTAGTAAGATGAAACATTTTTTAACATACTGTTTTTACAATTGTGTGTGGGGGACAGTCTCACCTGCAGATTTTAATATATACAGAGTTTAACAACTCTCTTTTAACAGAGATTTTAACATATGCATTATATTTTAAAGAATAATAATTGTGATAGAATAAATAACATCCTGTTTGTTATATGCAGATTCCAAATTGCTTTCCAAGACAAAGTTTTAAATGTTATTGTATATATTCCTAGGCCTGATAACCATCTAAAGATTTTTTTGCTTTTTCTTCAATTTCATGTGTCCCCAAATCTGATTTCTCTTCTACCTTCACCGTTATGGAGACTGACCAGGGAGGGTGGGAGGGGTGGGGAGCAGGGGGAGGAGTTTCCCCGTGAGGGCTGAGATCCTCACTGGGCGCAACAAAGGATGCCAAAATCAAAGGACTAAACAAGGCCAAAAACCATGCAGGAATGTCATGGGAAAGACCTAGAAGGGAAGCCACAAGAATCATCGACCAGATAGGAGGATGGGGTGGAGGTGTGGTGGCACCAGGTACAGTACCTATGGATCCAGAAATCTAGGGCCAGATAGAATGGAGCCAAGTGAAGCCTCTTCTCTGTGAACCATGTGGTGAATGGGAGCTCTATCATCGGTTTGACTCACAGTGGTCTAGATCTCCTGCTATTTTAAGCCAAGTGCATAGATAGTCACTTTACTACTCTTCAGTTTCTCATACTTCATCCAAATCTACTTTCTTTTAGTGGAGACTTCAAGTGGGTTCAGGTTAGCATTCAGCTCAGAAGTGCTACAGTGTCTCTGAGACATCAAGGAAAAGACACATTAAAGGACACCTTTCATTAATATTATTCAAATATCACATTCAAGGTTATCTCATGGTATCTTCCTTTACAAAAGAAAAATGTTACCACCACTCCACCCTTTATTATTTAAATATTACTTTACATATACTTTTTGGTATGCTTTCATGAAAATGTTTTAGACTTTTTCAATGATTCAATTCTGTCTTCTAAAATTTTTCTTTTTTTTTTAAAGCTTATTTGAGAGAGAGAGAGAGAGAGAGAGAGAGAGAGAGAGAGAGAGAGAGAATGTGCATTCAGGGGAGGGGCAGAGAGAGAGAGAGAGAGAGGGAGAGAGAGAATCCTGAGCAGGCTCCGCACTCTTAGCACAGAGCCCAGTGTAGGACTCCATCTCATGAATTGTGAGATCATGACCTGAGCTGAAATCAAGAGTTGAATGCTTAACCAACTGAGCCATTCAGGTGCCCCTAAAATATTTCTATTTTGAAATTTCTTTTAAACTCTAAAATTTGACCTTTTAATGAAAAGACAAGCAATGGACTGGGAGAAATTTACAAATCACAAGGATATTTTTAATGTTTATTTTTGAGAGAGAGTGTGGGGGAGGAGCAGAGAAAGAGGGAGACAGGGGATCCAAAGCAGGCTCCATGTAAAGCCTGTTGTAGGCCTTGAACTCATGAACCATGAGATTATGGCCTGAACTTAAGTCAGATGCATAACCAACTGAGCTACCCAGGTACCCAACAAATCAAAGATTTGATAGAGGACTTTTATCTAGAATATGTAAAGCACCAGGGTGCCCAAGTGGCTCAGTTGGTTAAGCATCCAACTTGGGCTCAGGTCATGATCTAATGTTGGTGGGCTCGAGCCCCGTATCAGGCTCCATGCTGACAGTGTGGAACCTGCTTGGGATTCTCTTTCTTCCCTTCTCTCTCTGCGCCTCCCCCACTCATGCTTTCTCTCTCTCAAATAAATTAACTTAAAAAAGAAAACTTAAAAACATATGTAAGGCACCCTCAAACTCTATAAGAAGAAAATAACCCAATTTATTTAAAAATAATTTTTTTTAATGTTTATTTATTTTTGAGACAGAGACAGAGCATGAACGGGGGAGGGGCAGAGAGAGAGGGAGACACAGAATTGGAAGCAGGCTCCAGGCTCTGAGCCATCAGCCCAGAGCCAGACGCGGGGCTCGAGCTCATGGATGGCAAGATCGTGACCTGAGCTGAAGTTGGACGCTTAACCAACTGAGCCACCCAGGCGCCCCGAAAATAACCCAACTTAAAAAGTGGGCAAAAGGTTTTAATAGACGCTTCACTAAAAGGATACATGGATAGCAAATAAATATGTGAAAAGATACTCAACATCATTGAGATGCACATTAAAACCACAATGAATACCACTACATAACCCGTTATAGTGTCTGTTAAAAAGACTGACCACACCGAGGAATGATGAGTACGTGGAACAACTACAAGTCTCATATGCGGCTGATGGGAATGTAAAATGGTACAGCCACTTTGGAAAACATTTTGGCAGTTTATTAAAAAGCTAAACATACACCTGCCATTGGTCTACTCTTAGGTATTTACCCAAGAGAAACGAAAGCATATGTTTCTACAAAGATTTGGATGTGAAAGTTCCTAGCAGCTTTATTTATAATCAAAAACTGACAGCAACTCAAATGTCTAGCAACAGATGAATGGATAAAAAAAATGTGGTATGTCCACATGATGGAATACTACTCAGCAAGGAAAAAGGGATGAACTACTGATACACATGCAACCTAGATGAAGCTCAAAATTGTGTGGAGTGAGAAGAGCCAGACAAGAGTAAATACTGTTCGCTTCTATTCTATAAAACTCTAGAAAATACAGACCAGTCAATAGTGACAGAAAGCAGATGGGTATTTGCCAGGGCTCACATAGAGTGGGGAGTCAGGGAAGACAGGCAGACAAGAAAGGAATTACCAAAAGGCAAGAGGAGGGGCAGTGATGGAGATGTTCATTATATTGATTGTGGTGATGGCTTCATGGTTGTATATATATGTGAAAACAGCAAACTGTACTCTTTAAATATGTGCAATTTAGGGCCACCAGCTGGCTTGGTCAGTTAAGCGTCTAACTCTTGATCTTGGCTCAGGTCATGATCTCATGTTTCATGGGATCAGGTGCCATGTCAGGCTCCATGCTGATAGGATGGTGCCTGCTTGGGATTCTCTTTCCTTCTGTCTGCCCCTACTCCAATCATACATGCACATGCTTTCTTTCTTTCTCTCTCTCTCTCTCTCTCTCTCTCTCTCTCTCTCAAAATGGGTAAATAAAAATAAATAATAAATGTTTAATAAAATATATTTAATAAATTGAATAAAATTGTTTAATAAAAATATGTGTTGTCATATGTCAATAATACTCTTTTTTTAAATTTTTTTAACATTTATTTATTTTTGAGAGGGAGAGAGAGAGAACAAGTATGGGAGGGGCAGAGAGAGAGGGAGACACAGAACTTGAAGCAGGCTCCAGGCTCTGAGTTGTCAGCACAGAGTCCCACGTGGGGCTTGAACTCACAGATGGTGAGATCATGACCTGAGCCAAAGTCAGACCCTTAACCAACTGAGCCACCCAGGCGCCCCTCAATAATACTCTTAAAGCAGTTAAACTTTACACACACTTCAGCAGAAACTTAAAATTTTGATTCCTTTTCACCGTAATCCAAAAAACTGCTTTACGAGAGCTATTCCTTCACCTCTAAAACAAATATTTTTTAAGGAATATTTTGCTCTTATTTCTTTAATCTGAGGTTAGCAAATTTAAAAAATTCAGTCAGCAGATTTAAAAGAGTTATTACTTTGATCTTGAAAGCCATTAAAGAAATCCAAAATGTGCCATGAAGTCTATAAATGAAAAACAGAAGTGAGAAAGAATTCCACATTGCTTTAGTTAGAGGTCACAAGATACCTGAAGCTCCAGGTGAGGAGTGCAGGGAAGGAATAGAATGGGAAAAGCCAAGCCCTATGCTAATAGTTGATCAATACGGATTTTAGTCTTCCCCACTTCTAGACCTATCCTTTCAAAAACTTTTAGATTCTCTTCCCCTTGATTCCATCTGTTAAACTGAGATCATAATATCTGTACTCCCTACCTTAAATAACGTATGTAGTCAGAAGAATAGGACCATTAATTTGGTATTGTCCCCATTTATTTACATAAGAGAGAATAAGAGAGTGGCTATTCCCGCAGCAAATTTGTTTTGCTGTTGCTTCTCCTATGGGATTTCACTACAGACATGTAAGTATATCTAAAACATTAGAAGGTTGATGGCCATTTTGGGGACACCTGGGTGGCTCAGTCGGTTAAGTGTCCAACTTCGGCTCAGGTCATGATCTCAGGGTCTGTGAGTTCAAGCTCCACATCAGGCTCTAGGCCGACAGCCCAGGGCCTGGAGCCTGCTTTGGATTCTGTGTCTCCTTCTCTCTCTGCCTCTCCCCCACTTGTGCTTTCTCTCTTTCTCTGTCTCTCTCTCTAAAAATAAACATTAAATTTTTGGTAGTTTTTTGTGTGTAAAACATTAGACGGTAGGTCAGAACATGACATACATTGAGCTGAGCCTTTTTAAAAACTTGGTGTCATTTATGCAAGTTGAGACTATGTATCAAACCTGAAAATGCATCATCAGGGACATCAGTGCTTTACTTCAGATGGGAGCAAATATATCAATGCACTGGTTATAAATGGAAAGAGGATAATGAAGATTTTGGGCAGACATTCGTTTTCACTAACAAATGTTCAATTATTTGCAAAGGTCTTTCATAATGTTAAATTGGAGGAAGTTATAATTGTGAGTATAAAATTATAAAATTATCATTTCTGTTCCTCTGTTATAAATGCAATCTAACTAGGATTAGTGTCTATTAATTCACTTGTGATACAGCTTGGTTTAAGAGAATCTTGGAATAAGGGCACCTGGGTGGCTCAGTGGATTAAGTGTCCAACTCTTGGCTCAGGTCACGATCTCACAGTTGTGAGTTCAAGCCCTACGGTTCAGCGCTGACAGTGCTGAGCCTACTTGGGATTCTCTCACTCTCTCCCTCTTTCTCTGCCCCTCCCCCACTAGTGCTATCTCTCTCTCAAAAACAAATAAACTTAAAAAAAAAAAAAGAGAGAATCTTGAAATAAAGTATAGGCTACTGTTCTCATTAGTTCTCAGCAACCATGTGTGGTTTTCATGGCAGTTTCCAGGTTAGTATTTTTACTGATGTTTCTCCATAGATCACAAAATTAGGAAATCTTCTAGAGTCAAAAGAAGACCATTGCAACAGACTCATTGAAGAAAATGACAAATATCAAAGATACATAGGCAACTTAATAAATAAGGTACAAATGTTCTTATAGAAATATTTGTCTTTAAAAACTATGCCAAATATTAAAATAATAGAATTTTAGTGCTACAAAGGATCTGAAGAATGATGGAACACATTTATATTGATTCTTTTCACTTCATAATGACATTATAAAATGCTCCCATTAGCCTTTTAGCTGACATCTAACAAAGAACATTCTGTGTATCTATCCCCTGCTGTTGGCAATTTTAGGTCTTAGTATTACGACTTCATTTTGAGGGTAATTGTAGATCTTTTCAACTTAACATTCTAGTTTACCTTCTGAAAACTGCATTAACTTTAACCAAACAGGCTCTAACCCTTAGCTGATACATCTACCACTTGTGTGGAAGACAACTGGATTATAGTTGACTCACTACAGTTGTCCATTTTCTGACACTTCACTCTTTCTGCATGATGAATAGGTACTTTATGATTCTATTTCTATTCATATTCCTGATTTCAAACTGTAAGGAAGATGTTTTGCCTCCTGTAAAGCTATTGATGAAATTCACATAATTGAACTTCAACTGAAGAGATTTTTATAAAAGCAAATATAAACAAAAATAAAAATTCTAGAATTTATCATAGAATAATTTTTTGGCTTATTTTTTTCAAGGTTACATCATATGAAGAAATTATTGAATGTGCTGACCAAAGGCTTGAGATATCCCACTCCCATATTGTACAGTAAGTTGAAAAAAGCTTAGTTTTTAATTTTGTAAACATTTACCGGTATTTTATTTTGCTCTCTGCCTTACCAAGTTTATTTTTTTAGGCTCCTAGAAAGAGGAAAAATGTGAAGTTTTTATAAATAAAGGCCATTCTTCAATCAAATAGTCTGCTCAATGTCTGACTACTTGAATAACCAGATTTTCATCTTCTTTTCTCAGAGCTCCCTTTGATTTCAGGGAGGGGGGCGGTGACAAACTTAGTGAGAAACATCCAAAAATTTCAGGAGCTATTCCATGGTGTTCAGGTAAAATAACCTTGCAATGCTTAATGCTTAGACTTTATTCACAAAAAGGTTTGAATGCACACCAAATGAAACATACATGTATATATATATCAAGTGCCAACTAAACTCTCTCATGAGAATGAGATTCAGCTTGAGGCGTCTGGGTGGCTCAGTCAGTTGAGCGTCCTACCCTTGATTTTGGCTCGGGTCATGATCCCAGGGTCATAGGATGGAGCCCCACATCAGGCTCCACTCTGAGCACAGAGTCTGCTTAAGATTCTCTCTCTCCACCTCTGGCACTCTCTCTCTCTCTAAAGAAAATAAAAATAAAAATAAAAAATAAGCTGCACCTGGGTGGCTCAGTCAGTTAAGCGTCTGACTTTGGCTCAGGTCATGATCTCACAGTCTGTGAGTTCAAGCCTCACATCAGGCTCTGTGCTGACAGCTCAGAGCCTGGAGCCTGGAGCCTGTTCGAATTCTGTGTCTGTCTCTCTGCCTGTCCCCTGCTCACTCATGTGCGCTGTCTCTCTCTCTCAAAAGTAAATAAACATTTATAAATAAATAAGTAAAATTCTGCAAATTTTTTTCACTTATTATCTTCATTTCTCATATGCTGTTTCTTCATCCTTCCCCCAATTTCATTTATACTGTGCTGGCTATCACTAAGCTTAAGCAAAAGGCAAAAGTCTTACATAGAAGGCACATAGAAGGCACATTCTTACATAGAAGGCACACCCCACATGTGAACTTTCTATAGGGCTAACTCACCACAAGATAACTAACTGAAAGACAGTTCGGGTATTTGTACCTTGGGAAGTTTGTTTTTGTTTCTTATTATTGTATCTAAGCAGAATGAATGTTAAAACAATTTTCCCATTTTTCAGACTGACATTGACAAATTTTAAATTTGAAAGAGGAAAGGAGTGTTAATTATACACTGAAGACAAGTAAAATAAGACTCCTCCTTAGCTTGTAACCAAGAAAACTCAGCCAATGTTCAAACATCATGGGCTCATGAAATATAGAAATAACAAATAACCTAGTATTTCTAAACCAATATCAAACCATCACTCTGGCCACATTTCTTTGCCCCAGTCATTTTTAAAATTCAAATTTTTTTGAACTTACATTTCAGAAAAGTGACTGATCCACTTTGTGGCCAAGAAGAGATTTGAGGGGCACCTGGATGGCTCAGTCAGTTAAGCATCTGATTCTTGATCTTGGCTTAGGTCATGATCTCAAAGTTGATGAGTTCGAGCCCCACACTCTTCACTGACAATGTGAAGCCTGCTTGGGATTCTCTGTCTCTCCCCTCTGCCTCTGCCCCTACCCCGCTTGCTCTCTCTCAAAATAAATAAACTTAAAAAAAATTTTTTTTAAAGAAGAGATTTGGGGTGCTTGGGTGGCTCAGTCAGCTGAGCGTCTGACCTCGGCTCAGGTCATGATCTCACGGTCTGTGAGTTCAAGCCCCGCGTCGCGCTCTGTGCTGACAGCTCAGAGCCTGGAGCCTGCATAGGATTCTGTGTCTCCCTCTCTCTCTGCCCCTCCCCCATTCATGCTCTGTCTCTGTCTCAGAAATAAATAAACATTTAAAAAAAATAAATAAAAAATAAAAAGAGATTTGACATCTGGGTTCTATAAATTTTACTAAAATGGTTGTCAACTGTGGATGCTTATTAAAATTCCCTTGAATGCTTTTTAAAAATATCACAGTGCTCAGACTCTACTCCCAGATGCAGTAAACTAAAATAACAAGCGAGTTCTGCGCATCAGTGTATTTCAAAAGCTGTCCAGGTGATTCTAATGTCTGGACAGTTCAAGAACCACTGCCAGATATCATGTGAGTTGATTTGCTTTAAGTGATAAGAATCATCATTTTTTTAAATCAAATATAGTCTCTTACATTCATGAAAGCAGTTTTTTTAAATTATCTTGAATTAGCTTTGATCTTTAAAAATATTTTTTGATGATTTTATTTATTTTTGAGACAGAGAGAAAGCACAAGCTGGGGAGGGACAGAGAGAGAGGGAGACAGGAACCGAAGCAGGCTCTGCACTGACAACAGATATCCTGGTGAACTCATGTGAGATCATGACCTGAGCAGAAGTTGGATGCTTAACTGACTGAGCCACCCAGATGCCCTAGTTTTGATCTTTTTAAAAGGTGTATGCTACATCAAAAATTATCAAATACATCATTAGAGCAATGTTTCTTTAAGGTGATGCTATTCTGTTAAAATTTAGCAGTGTTTGAAGTATCTTTAAATATTTTCACTGGATATACTGTAAGTTTTCAATTTACATGCCTTGAATTTTAGAAACAGCTGCTTGCTTATAAAAGCCGTTAATGACACTTGATTTTTCTAAAAGACTAAATAAAAGAAGGAACTTGGTGAGATCCATTTTGCGCATGCAGCCAGAGTAATCTTTCTGAAATATAAATCAATCTGATCATGCCTCTTAAAACACTTTTAGTGATTTCTTCCACCACTTTTAGATAAAAGAAAAATCCTTAACATGACCTAAAATTTTCTTCACAATGTGGTTTCTGCCTGCCTCTCCAGTCTCATCTCCGCACTCCCTGCATTGCCTTCAGCCACACTGGAGATATTATAGCTTCTCGAATGCATCACATTCCCTTTGGCCTCATAACTTTAGCATAGGCTGTTCCACCTGGAACGCTAAGGCTACCTGCACAGTTATCTCCTACTGTTCTTAAAATCTCCACCCAAATGCCCTTTCCTCAGAGGTATATTCACCGTCTTCCCAGTCTGAGTAAGGCAGCTTTTCCGTAATGCTACAGAGATTCAAGTAACCAAGCATCTGTCTCCCTAACACTGCTTTCCCTGTAATACCCGTGGCCAGATCAGTTTCAGGTATAAAAGTACTGCTCCATATATTCCTGGTTCAGGGACAGTTTTCTATGGAATTTTAGACTTGTTCTCTGTACCCTCCTCCCCATCACATCTATGACAACATCTTGGTGAGAGGTAGATCCTCTCACAAAAATATCCCAGTTCAGGGTGCCTGGGTGGCTCAGTTGGTTGTTAGGCTCAGGTCATGATCTCGTGTTTCATGGGTTCGAGCCCCACGTGAGGCTCTGTGCTGACAGCTCAGAACCTGGAGCCTGCTTTGGATTCTGTGTCTCCCTCTCTCTCTGCCCCTCCCCCGTTCATGCTCTGTCTCTCTCTGTCCCAAAAATAGATAAACGTTGAAAAAAATTTAAATATCCTGGTTTAACATACAGATGGCCAACAGGTACATGAAAAGATGTTCATGTCACTAATCATCATACAAATCAGAACCACAAGGAGAAGACACCTCACACCTGTTAGAATGGCTATTAACAAGACTAGAAATAACAAGTATTGGCTAAGATGTGAAAGAAAGGCAACTCTCATGCACTACTGGTGGGAATGTAAACTGGTGCAGCCACTGTGGAAAGCAGTATGGAGGTTCCTCAAAAAATTAAAGATACCACTACCATATGATCCAGCAATTCTACTTCTAGGTATTTATCTGAAGAAAATGAAAATCACTGCAGCATTATTTACAATAGTCAAGGTATGGAAACAACTGAAGTTGTTGATGGCTGAAAAGAAAAAGAAAATGTGATGTACGTATGCAATGGAATATTATTCAGCCATAAAAAAGAAGGAATTCTACCATTTGTGACAACATGGATGGACCTTGAAATGCTAAATGAGATAAGTCAGAGAAAGACAAATACCATATGATCTCACTTATATGTGGAATCTAAAAACTAAAACAAAACAAGCTCATAGATACAGAGAACAGATTAGTGGTTGTCACAGGTAGGGGGTTGGGGGGGCGGTGAAATGGGTAAAGGGGGTCAAAAGGTACAAACTTCCAATTATAAAATAAGTCATGGGGGTGTCATGTACAGCATGGTGACTGTAGTTAATAATACCATGTTGCATATTTGGAAGTTGCCAAGAGAGTAAATCTTAAAATTTCTCATCACAAGAAAAAAATTTTGTAACTCTATATGGTAACAGATGGCAACTAGACTTATTGTGGTGATCATTTCACAATATATACAAATATTAAAGCATTATGCTGAACATTTGAAACTAAAATGAAGTTTTATGTCAATTATATCTCTCTAAAAATTATTTTAAAAGCCACAAATTAGATAGCACTATTTCAAAGTACATTAAACCCTTGAAGAGCCTCCTCTCACCCTTAATATAGATGCAAACTCTCCACTACAGCTGCTAAAACCCTGCATTTTTTTTTACCTCATACTCTTTCTCCCACCTCATCTTGGTCTCTCCTTACCTATTCCTTGTAGTTGCTAGAACTTGGCAAGACTTGTCTGTCTCAGGGCATTCACACTTGCTCTTTCTTCTGCCTAGAATGTTTTCCCCTGACCTGACATTTTGCCCTTCTCAACCTTTAGTCTCTGTTCAAATGTCACCTCCTCAGAGACCTTCTATGACCACACTATCTAATGTGACCCTTCTTCCAGTCCCTCTGTATCACAGAAATACATACATACATAATACATGCTCAATGAACAGGATAGACAGTAGACTGGTCACTGAATAAGAAAGAATAAGTGAGTTAGAAGAGAAAAAAATGCATACACTGTATTACACAAACATATGAAATAAAGGTCAAGTGAAACTGCTCAGAGGAATAAGATCCAAACTACCTGGAATTTCAGAAAAAGAGAATGGAATGGTGGAGAATAAACTATGGAGGATTTT